CACCTTGACCACCTTCACCACCACCTTGACCACTTTCACAACCACCTTTACCACCACCTTCACAACCACCTTGACTACCTTCACCACCACCTTGACCACCTTCACCACCACCTTGACCACCTTCATCTGGAACATGAGTAACTACACTCTGGATGTAAGTTCCTCTACATGGACTATAACTTACTCCACTCGCGACATGACTGCCCTCAAATCTGGTCATGAAAACCTCCGACCAGACATGACTAACCACCTCCTCAAACCTCTTCTTGCTCCATTTTATTTTGTACATTGCACATCTCAAAACATTCTCTTGCATTTGAATACATATTGTATTTGATGTATTTGTCCTATATACATTCATGTTGCATTGTTGGAAGAGCCTGTGACTTACATTTTCATTGCTATATCTTAACTATCTTAACAGCACATCACCAGGACGGACCTTTACTCCCAGCGGCTCAGGAAGAAATCCCTCAAGATTATGAAAGACCCCCATCACCCCAGCCACAAACTGTTCTGTCTGCTGCCGTCTGGCAGGCGGTACCGCAGCATCCGGACTGAAACCACCAGACTCAGAGACAGCTTCATCCCCCAGGTAATAAGACTGCTAAACACCTGAACTTTGAAACAACATCCATAACATTCATCTGGCTGCTACTTAGAAATTATTGATCTAATATATCATATTCCAATCTCTTATTATACTCTTATTGCACTATTTCTATTCTATTTTATTTGTATTTACTTGCCCTATTTTTTCTGTTTATCTGTGTTATTGTGTTGCTCTGTTGGAGGAGCCTGTGACCTCAGATTTGCGTTGTCATACCTACACTGTAGCTAAGTACAAAGGACAATAAAAGCCTTTAATCTTGAATTGAAATCAGGAGCTGACGGCATCGACCTCAGTATATGACTTCCTCTACTCACGATAAGACCACCTCCACTGCCTCCACTCAGGAAATGAACGCAGGACTTGATTTCACGGATGTGGACTTACCGACGAGGGCCAGGATGACGGTGAGCAGAGGGGCTGCTGGGAAGGCGATGGTCATGTTCATCTCCAGCATCTGAAGAAGGTCCACTGAGGAGAGAGGAACACATCAGATCAATAAACAACAACATTCTGGATCAACGCAAGTAATCAGTTCAACTACTACGGGACATTCACACACGAGAATCCTGGGAAAAGTATTGTTTTAAAGGTGATTCTTCATCTACAGTCAAAACGTATCGAACACATTTCAAAATGCAAAGACGAGAACATATTATAGTCACTTCATATATTATATATTCAAAGTTTTAGCTTGTATTGTCAAAATGATACTTATACTGTCAGTTATGTGTGATTGCACCATCGGGAATGCTTGGAATTTTGCTGTGTAGTGACAATAAAGAAATGTATAAATCTATCCATCTATCATATGTTTAAACCTAAGGCTTCACAACCTGACTACTTTAGTGTATTGTATGTATAGTCAAATTCCTCGTACGTGTCAACCTTCCTGGTAATAAACCCGTTTCTGTTTCTGATTAATTGTTCGTGTAACTAATCACTAATGCAAAAGAACACAGTGTGCTGAAAACAGCCTGACGGATATATAACAATTCAGTTGTCAGCATTTCGAACGCTGTGCTCCGGCGTCTGAAACCAATACAGCCGGTTAAATATAGAACAATCCTGGAGGCCTTCATGAAGCTTAATTTGCAAAATGCTAATTAACAGGCCTCCTCCTGCAGTCTGTGCAGAAAGATGTTCGGTGGGTCAACAGGAAGTCATTTTGCATCCCTGAGAAAACTCACACTGTGGGACGAAAAGACCTCACGTGTTTCTGTACTGATACAGATATTTAGTACACATCAAGCTATTTGGTTTACACCTTGAACATAACTAGGATGTGTGCATGTGACAGGTGGGTATGGTGCATTGATAGCCTGCTACTAGTGACCGGAGAGAAAGTTCATTGCTCGTTGTTAAAGCATTTGCTAAGGGGAAAATGATTATATATAAATGGTAATGTAGTTGAATTGTAGGATGTTTGGAAAGGATGAGAAGGTGTTCTGTCTGTGCTTGTTTGTGTTCGTTTTGGAGACGTGTGATCTGTTGAACTGTGATCGACTAGATGGCCTTGATCTGGGAGCCGTTTAGGTTTTTGATATCTTGTCAATGATATTGTGGAAATGAAGGAGTCTCATGATTGAAATACAGTGTTAATAGACAAGTGTATGTACTCTTACAAGAGGCTTTTTGCATGTGTGCTATTGAAAGGTGTTGCATTTGTTATCTCACTCGAGTAAAGTACCGGCAAGTGAAACTTAACTTTGACTCTTTGACTTCTATCAGGGGCGTAACATGCACACTGCACTGCACTGGGTTTATTCTGTGAGTCAGGTACTACAGTTTCTTAGACTGGACCACACTGTTGTTCTGGTTTAGATTAAACTCTTCTGGATTGTGTGGGTGTGAAGTCTCGGAGGAAACTGACCGATGAAGACGAAGATC